AACATGGCGGCCATTGGCCGCAGCAGGATGGTAGAGCAGATGAGTGGGGGCGCCAGACCAAGGCGGGGCGCCGGTCACTGTCATCGAGGCGAGCCTCTGGTGATTACTGAAAATTCTTTGCTCCTGCACACTGCAGTCCTGCCTGGCACTCGCACCTGCTGCTGGCGCCGGCCCCGCTTGCACCCGTAAGCTGGCACCAGAGCTGCCACTCCCACCCACTGCTGGTGCTCAGCGCCAGTCCCGATCGCTTGGCACCATCAGTGGGTGCAAGTGGCGGCTACCGGCCCCGATTGCCCCTCAGGGCTTCTCCACCTCCCCCTGCTCCTGAGGGGTGATCGGGGCAGCAGCTGCCACTCACACCCGCTGCTGGCACCGGCCCCACTCGCACCTGCAGCCGGCGCCAGAGCCGCCACTCACACCTGCCGCAGGTGCCTGGCTCTGGTCCCATCAGCGTGTGGGAGCGGCGGCGGCAGGAGCAGAGCTGCCGGCAGACAGAGGACCGGGGGTCATGGCAGGAGCTGGGCAGGGGCACAAAGGATGGGCCAAGATCCACCCCTGTGCCCACTGCAGCCTCATGGCCCACAGTTCCTTTCAAGGTGCACAAATCCGTGCACTGGGCCCCTAGTCTATAATAATAAAAGCATAATATGCTAATTAGACAGACAGCTGAAACAACCTTCCAAACGAAGCTGGGGCTGCGAGGGCTGAGCCCCTTGCACGAATTTCATGCACCAGGCCTCTAATATACATATATACACACACACACACACACACACACACACACACACACATATATGCCTAAGCAACCGGAACGACCAGTTGCTATGACGTGCACTGACCACCAGGGGGCAGATGCTCAATGCAGGAGCTGCCCCCTGGTGGTCAGTGTGCTCCCATAGCCAACCTCCCCTCCCTGGCCAGCCAACCTCCTGCGGTCCCTCCCCCTGGCCCCTGGGCTGGGACGGGGAACCGGGAGTGGGTGATGGTGGATGCGGCCCCTTTTCCAGGGGGGCCAAGGGCCAACTCCCTCCTCAGGGCTGGTGGCCAACCTCCCGTGCCCCGGCCCTGATGGGCATGGCCTCAATCGGCCCTGATCGCCAGCCAGGCCTAGGGACCCCACCCGTGCATGAATTTAGTGCACTGGGCCTCTAGTAAATTCACAATCCCTCATTACTTTGGCCTTGTGCGTTCCTCCTTTGGCAACCCTAACAGGTGGTGGTGTGGAGGTAGGAAAAATGGTCATTTCTGCATGGCTCCTGGCACCTAGTAAGCACTCAGCTCTCAGCTCAATGTTTAGAAATACACAGCGTGTGCTAGTATATTTTTTTAAATCACTATTTGGCAGAGGAGTGTTTGCACTGTATCTGGAACAAGTCTAGATGAAAGAGACTACAGAGGCATGACCCATAATGCAGTGCTTACCCCTGGATTAAAAATAAAATAGCTAGCACATAGGTACAAATGGGGAGATGTTAATCTAGACTGTGTGTTGGGTAATAACACTGGATCAATGTTAAATTTCTTGAATGTGATCATTGTATTGTGGTTATAAGAATGCCCTTGGTTTGGAAATATTAAGTATAAGGTGTGAGAATGTAATTTACTCTCAGGTGGTTCAGAAAAAAAGTATATCTTATTTATAGAGAGAAATACACTCAGAGTGGCAGAGAATGATAGCAAAAGGTTAAAAACAGGAAAACTAGGGGATAGGTATATGGATGGGTGTTCATTATATTATCCTTGCATTATATTATCCTATGCTTTGAAATTTTTCAATATAAAAAGTTGGGAAAAGAAAATAAATAAAAAACAGAACACTTTAAATCTACCGTAAGCAGTGTTAGAAGAAAAGCCAGAGAAGAATAATTCACACTCAGTTCTGAAACCAAACACAAATACTTTTTATTTCTGAGATATCATTTTACATCAATTCCATTAAAACCTAAAACCAGTTTGCTGTACTCAAGTTAGGTGGCATAACAGTATCTGAGTTAAGCTGGGAGTCACAGGACTTGCACACGTTTATGAATGTAATGCAAATACTGACGACACAAAGCATTCACAGTTACAGGTTAGCTGCTGTTCATTTGACAGTAGCCCCCAAGAGAAATTATAGAAATTATTTCATGAAAAAAAGCAACCCACGTTTTGGTCTCATTTACAGACACCCAACATTTTAGTTGGTCAATGAATTCTATACATTTATTATACAACATAACATATGAAAGAATAAAAGATAAGGCTTACAGAGGTATTTTAGCAGTTGTAAGATTAAAAACCAAGGGCACAAACAAACTTTTAAAGCTTTCCGTATAAACCTCAAAAGCACTATTAAAAGGAGACTGAGAGGCAACAGAAACCTGTTGCTAAACCAGAAGGTTTATCTAGTCGGATTTAGAAAAAACTTAATTCAGAGTTCATGCTTCAAAAGAGCTGCAGGGAACTTTACAGTGAGTGTTTATGGCAAATCAAATAATAAGCTTTCTGACCTAGTGCAACAGTAAACATCTAGAATTTGTAGTGTCCGTTACAACAGACTATTGCAAGGTGGAGGTCAAAACAGTGGAGAGAGAGAAAGGATGTGGACTGGGTGATAAAGAAAAACCAGAAGGCACCCTAATTTATTTAACATTAGCCAGTAAGTAAGTGTTTGATGACTGCTCAATTTTATGTAACTTAGGGATGCTTTTAAGAAAAGGTACCTTATTATACTAGCTGACCCTTTTTCTTCCCCTTAAAATAACTGCATAAAGCCAAGGAAACCAAGGGCCAAAGAGATTTATTTTTCAAGGAAGTTTAAAGATTTGGAATTGTCTACATATGCAAGATTATCTCTTTAGAATACTTTCATATTATACATCATGAAAGTTTCTAGCTGGGATTTCCCCCATCATCAAAACGTTCTTGTGGATGAAATGTAACACCTGCCCTGTAACAGTCCTGTACTTACTTTAGGATTGACTGTGCTTAGTGCTTTAAAACAGCAGTCGCCTACCTTTCGGACCTCACGAACCACCAGTGGTCCGCGGCCATCGGTTGGCGACTGCTGTTTTAAAGTCTCTACTCTCTAACAATAACTTTTAAAATACTCTCATCTGTGATTTATATTTATATGTACATTTCTGATTTATTGACCAAATTTAAGAACTGTTGACTTTATAGTGTTTTTGTTGTTTTTTTTAATTCATGGGATACCTCTGAAAATGAATCAAGTTCTCCACAGAACTGAACCTACGGCCAATTGCCACTGGAATGACACCATCGGAATGGAGCCCCTTTCAACACATTGGTCTCATGAGCTGTGCTTGCCATCAACATCTCCAATTCTTTCCAGGTATTAATTTGTGCAAACTGGTATGAATTTATAAGGTAGAAGTGACTCCACAATTCCTAAACAAGGAATGATTAAGTATGCTTAATCACTATAGGGATTTTCAAACTTCTGGTTTATTTCACAGCAAACGAAACCTTTCTAATAGGTAGAAAAAAGAATTCTACCAGATCATGATTTTGTGTATGTGCACACACTGTATATACATACAAATTTCTGTCTTTGGTGGTTCAGTTAGAGAAAAAAAAAATAATATGAAAATCTGAACACTGTTTGCAAAGAAACTGTGAAATAGTGGTTAAGAGTAGCATTGTCTGTGTGCTTCTCTCATTGAATGCCATTTAAAGGTTCACATTTAATCCAAAAGATTTTTCAGCCAGATTTTGAAATAATCCAAGCCTCTTCTAATCATGACATGTTCAATCATGAATCTTGCTCACACAGTAGCATTCACTGGTTCAAATGCACCATTAGCTTTTTACTTGGTTTAAATCATTAGACTTTTTTTGTTTTCACAAAACTTTAGGGACTAAATTAGTCATTCAATAGCACCAGATAGTTGAGGGGAAAACATGTTATCTACACAGTTCCTAAAGGGTAAGGCAAGGGGAGGGAAATAAAAAACATAAAACACAAACCTAAAAGTTCCATCCTGTTTACAAGTTCCTCACCCACATAAATAATGGCTATCACCTTTCTGTACAAATGACCCAGGTAACGATGAGCGGCCTCTCCGGGGAAGGTCCTACCGGGTAACAGTTAGCGCAATGCTGGTGGTTTCCTATCCACTGCCTGCAATGGACATTCTGCCAGGAAAAGCCTAGCATGAAAGAAACAAAAAGGAAAACAAAACCCTCTCACTTATAATAGAGTTCTTTTTCAAAAAACACTAGAAAATTAGACACCATGAAAGCTTAACTAAAAATTCAAGCCATAACTAAAACTGCTCTGCAATTATCAAATGCCAGTAAACCACTGGGTTTCCATGGAGGAGGCAAAACCAACTTCACTTAGAATGGCATAGAAAGCATGAGCAGACCAAACACTGCCAAGAAGAATGCAAAAGAGAAAGAAAAATCTGCTAAAGCAAGTTTACAAGAGTTCAGAACTATTCTATTTTTTTTAAAAAAAAAAAAAAATCTGCTAAAGCAAGTTTACAAGAGTTCAGAACTATTTTATTTTTTTTAAAAAAAAAAAAAAATCTGCTAAAGCAAGTTTACAAGAGTTCAGAACTATTTTATTTTTTTTAAAAAAAAAAAAAAGGTGCACTGTTAATTTATTCATTTGTACCTATATTCAAAGTACTACAGCTTTTTAACATTAGAAAAGAAAAACCTATACCTTGCATGGTGGAAATGATTGGTGACATGGTTGGTACATGTCTGTATGTTCAAATAATTATAGCTTCATCATTTAAAAATGCTAATATCCAGGTAAACCAATTACATTTGGCATATGCCTCTGCAAAGTTAGAACTCCCACCTCCTTCCAAAAGTTGGCCTCTTGAACAATAAGGTGAATTCTGGCAACGTTTACTTATGGTAAAATTCTTCTGTTTTTTGAAATGCTACATTTGAGACCAAGTAAAGTATAATTGGTTCATTTGAAAAAAGGGACTAGAAATATGCCACAAAAATTATTTTTACAATACATTTTTGCAGAAATAATCTCTAGGTGAAGCTTTTTCTTTTTATACACATATACAAAATTTAAACAGCAATATACACATCATCACAGTGAGGACGTTGGCAAATTCACCAATCTGTAGTGTAAATACAAACTGCAAAAGCAGCCTTCCAAGAGAATAATGCTACACAGCAGGCAGAGCTGGCCCATTCAATAGCAAACACCAAAACGTCCCTGCAAAAGGGAGACAGTGCAAGAAAAGCAGCATGCGCTTTGATACAAACAGCAATTTATGGCTAATGGTTGACATAACTGTGGTAACAGTGACTCTCGCGCTGCTATGCATAAAGTCCTAGGACATCTGCTTGTCTTTATACCACTCCACAAACTCGTCCAACAAAACTGGCCCTGGAGAAAAAGAGAAAACAAGACAGCTGAGAAGGACGCGCGAATGTGCCACGATGTGAAGAGTGAGAGGACACCCAGTGCTGGTACTTACATGCGCCATCTTCGTCGTAGTTGCTGAGGTCAAGGTTAATTGTTCTGCTAAACTCTAGCACATTGCACCACTGGTCTTTGTTAATAACTTTATATTTTGATTGCTGATGGAGGGAAAAGGAATAGGAATTACTGACATAATTAACAAATGGGACGGTGTCAATTGCTGATGAATCAACTTGATACAGTTCATAAAGGTTAACTCTTTTTCCATTGGGTTGTTAAGTACCAGTCTAGGAGGACGGTGAGAGAGAGCAGGAGTAGAATTTAAGATGACAACTTTCATTACAAAAATATTATGGGGCCCAACACAAATGACAAGCACATCAAAGACACACAATTTTATAAACCTAGAAGTGAAATTTCTAGACTGCAAAGGCCCTTTTACATAAAATGGGAGTAACACTTCCTTCATAGAGGTGTTGCAAAGATTAAGAGATAATTTAGGTAACTTACGTAAAGCCCTTCATTCATACTTGGCACACAGGAAGTGCTAAATAAAGCGTAGCTCCATGAATGAGCCCTGATATGACAAGGATGCACTGTGTCAAGCTCTGAGCTCAAGTACACACAGCAGTCGATGAGGAGGTCTCAGACTAGTTGCTCTAGCCACTGAAGAAATGACTGTTCTAATAAGTCAAAACTTCAATCTGGTCATAAAAGTAATCAGAATAGCCATGGAGTAGATTCCTATTCCTCTTAGACAAGAAATATGCCATATGTGTATTTTAAAATATAGTGTTCATGTGTAAACATTTGAAAATAAAAGCTAGATCCAACAATTTTTTAATCTTAACCACTAATATCAGAAACACTGGAAAACAATACAAGCAGACAAAAAGCAAAGAGTTGATCCAATAGTTTTTAGGATGCAAACACAAGAACAGCTGAAAATGAAAGGATTACTGTCTCCTTTTAAAAGAAAAATGCAAACTAATAAGAGAACAAAGCAGACTACAAGTTTCACTTTCTAGGCACCTAAAAGCAAGAACCAGCTGGTGGAGCTCCTGGAACTGCAAAGTCAAACTGGCTTCAGGCAAGGTCCTAGGGCTAAAGGACCCGTCACACTCAGGCACTCAGGCTAATTCCGCTAAACTCTCTGAGAGCAAGAACCTGTTTCTACTCATTTTCCAAATAAAGCTAACACTTCACGGGATTGGCAGAGAAATTAGAACAGATCACTTGTAGTGTGAACTGTCATGTAAACAAATACTTCTTACATTAAAACTAGTTTTTATACCTTTCTTGAGGAGTTCCAGTTAGTAATGTTACAAGCAATTTTTAAATAACAGTCCTCAAAGAATCGTATCAGTTGGAAGCTTTTCCAGACAATTACATAAAGTAAGTTGTAAGAAAGATTATTTCAAGAGTGAAGCCAGTCAGGATAAGACCCAGGATTTCCTCAAAGACTCAACACCTTCATCCTTTCAAGCAGAGGACATTTTAAAAAGGGGTTTGGGGCAAAGAAGAAAAGGGAAGGGGGTTGGGGCTGGAGGACAAGAAGGATGCTATCTATATGACATCCCTAGTAACTCAAACCTCCATCTCATGTACTTCAAACTCCTACCGTATTACATTACATCCAAACCAGCTCCTCATAACCAGCAGCTCAAAGGTATTTATTATTCACCCTTAAAGCAACTGAACAATGACGGGGTACAGTGCTGGATCATTTCTAATACAAATGTGAAGAAAAATTAAACTGAAGGAGATTTTGTCAGTTTGCCTAACACTCAATCTAATTCCTGGTCCCCAAGTTACTTGGAGATAAGAGTAAAGACGACTACATTACATACTTCTTTTAACAAAAAGGCTGATGCTTATTTTTTAATCTTTGCTTAATAAAAGTGGAAATTCACCTAAAGCCACAAAGGAAAGTAAATCTTGTTTTACTATTGTTATAAAGAACAGGAAATCTAAACAAAAGTAAAGCTTTTAAAATGGGGACAAGAGAGAAGCAAAGGACAGAGCAGTAGCTGTTTCTGATGCATCTGTACCGGGAGCGATGCAACACAATAAATTCACACAGACACCCGCAGAGAGAACAGGTCGTTGCTGATTGACAGCAGTTATGTCACCATAATTCCTATAGGCAGAAAGTATAACAAACAAGAAAATTACATAAAATGGTTAAATAAAGTACACTTGGTAATTCTAAGCAAGCAAAAATACATTCCATAAAATAACAATTTGGTACCTCTAAGAATTGGTGAAAAACTGGAAAAAGGGGCCAGATTTTTCCTAATAACAGTCCCAACATGCACTTGGCAGTGTTAATGTCTAGGCTGCGCTGGTCCTTTTCCTGTTTAACAAACAAAAACAAGGATGAGCCAGATGCCCCAAATAATAAATTCCAATAATCCAAATTTCTATTTCACGTCAACAAGACATTAGTGAACAGCTCATTGACCATTTATCATACACCATAGAATCCCTGGGTCATGACTGAGGTGCGGGAGGGGAGGCATCAAACAATGGAAGGCTTGCTCACTCTGGTACTATAGAAACATACTGTGAAAAGACTCATGTCAACTGAAATGATCACTCTAATGCAAAAATCAATTAGTTAGGTAGTAACAGTATCTACAATTATTTCATAGGATAAATAAAAATCTATAATCACTTGCTGTTTGACATTTACGATAATTACCAAAATCATAATTGCTCACCTCAAACAAAGCCCATAATTTAACTAAATGTTTAATTTAACTAAAGGTTTAAACTTCCATGCTTAGGAATCAGGTTTCCTTAATAACATTTTTCCAATAATTTATTTTGTTGGTAAATGTTTTCCTTGTACCTAAAAAGCATTGGAATTAAATGCAGCTCACAATAAAGGTTGGGGCTGTGGAGCTTCCCTCCAACTAAGGGGGTGTATTCATCCACTCACTCTGGGAGAAAATTGTCTACTACAGTCCTTCTTACCTTGGATTTGTTGGACGTGAACTCTCCTAGCAGAATACCCCTAACTAGCAACCAAGGGAAAGACAACATTTCATAAAGAAACCAGAAAAAAAGTAGTACATAAACCTGAAATGGGCACGTGAAGCTCATTCCACTTATACTTGCCATTAAGGATCCTAATTTCTCATTCTCCACTTTCTTACACATTTTCATTACAGCACTACAGGTGGGGCGTTTCTATGTAAATGGACAGAGGACCTGGGGCCATAAGCCTTACATATATCCAAAGCTAGCTTCCAGGCCGTGTCTCACTTCAGTGGAAATTTGCAAAAGTACTTTTCTACAACGGGAGAAAGCTCCTGGCTATCCCATCTAAATGTTCACACCAAATTAAGGGCTGACACAGTGACCATCACTGTCAGCAACATGTGCAGCCACACATATCTCCCGATAAAATACAGCACTAATTCAAGGACTCTAGCAGTGAAGTACTCTTTAGTACACAGAGAATTTCTGGCCTTGACACTGAATTTAAAAGTGAAGGACTTAAACAATACAGCAAATGTAAGGCCTCATTCAACAACAGCAAACACGATAGATGAAGATACGGGAAGATGTGCGATAGGTCTGTCCTTTGGTCCCAGGCATACAACATAATGCCCCTCACCAACAGACCAGGAAAGATGGCTCCACATCACCCTTCTCTGTTCCAGGCACACAACTTAAGCCTGGTGACAGTGGGGGTGCCCCAATTCCACAGTTCAATGCAAACAGGTGGGGCGTCCTTTCCACAGCGTTCTCTGCCTGTCCTTTGGCCATGCACAGCATCCTGCTCAGGACCATAGTACTTAGTCCTGATGGAGAGGAGGACAAGAGAAAAGGTGCTCTAGAGACTGTCCACCTTTTGCCAATCAAGCCTCATTGGTTTATTGCACTGCAAAGGCTTCTACTTCTGTGACACACTGTGCAAGAAATGCAAACTTCCTCTTACCCTGTAACACAGGTGTAGCAGATGGCAACAGCACACCATACTGTGAAGCAATCCGCATGAAAAATGAGTGCACTGCTGAAAACACACGTGGCACCACAGGAGTGGGCCGAAGTTCACCTGTTGAACAACAGCCCATGCAGCACCAGGCTGACAGCACTGGTGCTTGGGAGAAGTTTTCCCTTGGAAAAGTTTGTAATCATTCACTAAATCTAAAATCACTGGTCTTGCCATGACACATATTGTGCCTTTTCCCCCACATCATCAACGCCTATGTCCCCATCACAATGGACATACACCAAGATGACAAAAAGAAAAAAAAGATACAAAAGACCTGGACAAGACTCTGCAACAATATAATCATCTGACAAACTGATGATCATGAAGGACTTCGATGTATGTTTGGTTGGCAGTGATGCCCAGACAGGGAGAAAGGCATCAGACTCACAGGACCGGAAGCTGAACAGCACTCACTCACTCCTGCTCTGCAAGGGTGCCAGCCAGCAGCTCTCAATCACTACCACCATCTTCTGCCTAGCAAATAAGAGAGAGATATTATGGATGCACTCAAGATCTGAACAGTGGCAACTCGCCGGTAACCAACGTTGCCGGTGGGTAGATTGGAGGCTACCTGCAAAAGTCCATAATTGGAAACACTCAAAATTCCTAGGAACAACATAGTCGAGAGACCCCACAACAAAAAGCTACTGAACATCAACATGGAGACACGCCCGGGGGTTCTCTGACAGCAATGACCCTAATGGCATTCTCTGCCAAGGAGTTCCCAATGAAAAGTTACATGAATCTCCCACAATGCTATGAAGCAGGGCATTTAAAAAATGATAATCACCATAACTCATTCAAAGAGTACAGCAAAGCCATCTAGAAGCTCCTCAAAAGAAATCGCAGCAGTGTACTGCAACACTGACCCCGCGGGCAGGCGCCTACTCCCAGGTCAGTCTAAGCAGAAAGAACCTTGAGACAGGCTGTCAAGAGTCAATCAGCATCCCCAGCAAGCCCATCAAGGTCAAAGAAGAAATGGAACTTTTCTCCCTGTCCATCTCTTGACTCCAGATGTGCTGGTATGTATTTCATAAATTTTAATTTACATATGAGATCAGGCCTCTCAGTGGTACAGCTATAAAACCAAAGGATCCTACTCTGAATATTCTAAGAAGTTATGTGTTGTATATGGAATAAATGCACTCTGCCAGCTAAAGACTAGTAGTAGCTAGTGTACAGAATAATGACGTTTTACTAAGGTCTGATTTGAAGTTCTAATATGAAAAAAAAATTTACTGCCTTTGTTTATGTAAGGCTATTCCAGTATAAGTCTTCCTATGATATGTGAAAACTAAGCATTTTTTCTTTAAATGGTGCGAATGACTTAAGAAACAATAAATGAACAAATAGGTAACTGTATGTATGCAAATGTAAATATTATAAAAATGAACCTCTAACCATCTAGGTATCCAGATATGCTATTCAGAGGCCCCCAACTATTTCAGATGACCTATTTTCAATTTTCACAAAGCTTTGATAGCTTAAGACCTGTATGTGAAAAGGGGGACATTTAATGATTAAAATCATTAGGAAAAAAAAATCTTCAACAGGAAAAACATTCCTAAGATTTTCAAGAATTAGTTGTACTAAAAAAAAAACCAAAAAACATATAAGCGACCATGATTCACAGTGGCAACCAAGTAAGAAATTGATATGTGAAATCAAAAGAACTAAAATGAAGACCTATGACATACATCACAGAATTCCATCTGAGACCACAGGGATTACAAAAAATAGCGAAAATCCAGTTCTCCTTAAACACAGCTCCCTAAGTCAACAAACACAGGTAAAAATAGAGAGCTCTATCTTGAATCTTAAATAATGTGATTCAGTTTATAAAATGGAAAATTTAGTAAATCAGTTTTTTTAATTTTTTAAAAACATATTTTTTATTGACTTCAGAGTGGAAGGGAGAGGGAAATATCAATGATGAGAGACAATTATTGATTGGCTGCCTCCTGCACACCCCACACTGGGGATCGAGCCCACAACCCAGGCATGTGTCCTTGACCAGAATCAAACCCTGGACCCAGTCCACAGGACTGGGGATCGAGCCCACAACCCAGGCATGTGTCCTTGACCAGAATCAAACCCTGGACCCTTCAGTCCACAGGCTGATGCTCTATCCACGGAGCCAAACCGGCTAGAGCTAAATCAGTTTTTTTAATGAGAGCTGGGTTTCTTCCTTTTTAATATACATTTTAAAAAACCACACAAGTTATAAAAACCAAGAGTATCATCCCACTGGGAAAAATGAATCTACATAATTACGCTCTTAGAACGTACCCAGCATTATTTACAGATACACTGTTTGCAAGGTAATTAATTAAGCTTAACTATTTCCTTAACAAAAGAAAAAAAAAATCTGCCAATGGGCACAGTCTTTCCTCATGATTTTATTTGGTAGAGATTCTATTACTAAGCATTACTTTTGGAAAATAATGAGATTTTGTGCAGGCACCTAAGTAATGTTAGTGAGTAATAATTTGAACAACTATTTCTAATTCTATGGTTAACTTTTATTGAGAATTTAATCTGAGCCAGAAATTGTTCCAAGTGCCTTATACTTAAATTCATTTAATACAACAACCCTTTTAGGATAGGCATTATTATTAGCCCCGATTTATAAATAAGAAAACTGAGGGAAGGGGGTTAAAATGACAGTAAGTGGTAGAGCTGGGACTTGAACCTGGAAGTCTCATTCCAAACCTTCATTGTGGACCACCTTGCTTCCCTGAGAAGTGATGAGGAAAAAGAGATTTAAATATAAACACACACAGTCCAATTAGCTTTATAAGTAATTGCTGAGCAAATCTGTGTCTGTAATAACTAAGAGTAATTTTTTAATTGAGGTATAATTAACACACAATATTGTATTAGTTTCAGTTGTACAACATAGTGACTCAACCTTTACATACATTATAAAAAAGAGTAATCTTAAAGATAAAACTGCCAAGGTTTTTAGGGTAACAGACCTGGGATCAGATGACCATATTCCCTACTCTTGTCTTCACCTAACCTACTTTTTCTTTCCTTTGTAATTTCCAACTAAAAATATGAGAAAAAAGTAGAGAGCTGTGTGTGTGGTGTAGTGAAGAAGTGAGAAACTGACTCAAATTAGAAGAGGATGTGAATCAAAATAGTCATAACAGACTGAGGTTAGAGTCAGGCAGAATTCTCTGATGAACAGAAGACCCAGCAGATTTTCCTTAGCAAATTATATGAGTAACAGCCACGATCACTTTAGCTTAAATTGAAATGACTAAGCTATTGTTTTACTTAAAGAAAGAAAATTCATTAACTTTAGTATGCTCTTCCATCTTCTAGAAACACCTCCTCAGAGACAG